CCCCCGTTTTTCTCTTGTCCCGCCGTAACTACGACTGATCCTGCCCGCATGCTTCTGTATCTCTCATATGTTTTTTCCGTCCCTGCCTGGGCCTGTCCTCCCCACAACGAAAACAATAAAAGATGATCCGCTGCCTTCCGGCGTGAGCTTCTGGCAAGGCGACTTCCGGGTGCACATCTACCGCCTGTCTCACGAAGAGCCGGAGCAGGAGATGATAGACGGCGCGGGGGAGGAGGAAGAAATAGCGGCATGCGACCAGTGGGTCTTGCCTTCAGCAAGCCTGGAAGGGGTGAGTGTAGTGTTGCTTGTGGCCGCCGCGCGCTTGAAAACTGTTCTGTTTGTTGTACATGAACCAATCATTTCTGTTCGTATGCATAGCAGGCGTTGTTCTGCTTCTCCTGCTCCTCTCCGTGTTTGGGTGGCATTATCCCCAAGCAAGGATCCTTAGTGCATCGGGCACCTCGCTCACACTACGTTACGGTGATGCCTATAGAAGCTGAAATCAACCCATTAGACTAGTCAGCGGCTGACTAGTCTAATGGGTTGATTTCAGCTTCTATAAAAGTACGTCGTGGGGCTCGGTGAACCCGACACTTTCCTTCCGAGGAGGGATGCTCCCCTCGCCAGCCGCTACTATCCATCCAATGTCTATTTCACTTCCGTTATTCTCGACTCATCACCCACATCCGTTCTAGAATGGATGTTCAGGGTCTCCGACGACGAGCTTTTTTCCTTCTCTCACTCTCGCAAGAGTCGAACGTTTCCAGAAAAAAGTGCACCGACTGGGTATCGAACCCACGACGTACTTTTATAGAAGCTGAAATCAACCCATTAGACTAGTCAGCCGCTGACTAGTCTAATGGGTTGATTTCAGCTTCTATAAAAGTACGTCGTGGGTTCGATACCCAGTCGGTGCACTTTTTTCTGGAAACGTTCGACTCTTGCGAGAGTGAGAGAAGGAAAAAAGCTCGTCGTCGGAGACCCTGGACATCCATTCTAGAACGGATGTGGGTGATGAGTCGAGAATAACGGAAGTGAAATAGACATTGGATGGATAGTAGCGGCTGGCGAGGGGAGCATCCCTCCTCGGAAGGAAAGTGTCGGGTTCACCGAGCCCCACGACGTACTTTTATAGAAGCTGAAATCAACCCATTAGACTAGTCAGCCGCTGACTAGTCTAATGGGTTGATTTCAGCTTCTATATGCCACACCCAGTGGTGTCGTATCCGTGGATCGAGTCGGACACTTGCCACATATCTGCTGAGCCCCCATCCCCCCGCGGGGTGGGATACTTGTGCCATCGGGTGGTCTAAAGAACTGCAGCCCTGCCCCTAATCCCAATCCCAACCCCAACCCCAATCCCAATCCCAATCCCAATCCCAATCCCGATCTCAATCCCAATCTCAATCTCAATCTCAATCTCAATCCCAATCCCAGGTGTGGGAAAGCTTGGTTCTTGAGCGGGGAGTGAAGAACCACCTCCTGGAGTACGCAACCTCGGCCCTGCTCTTCACGGACAAGGGTGTCAGCAAGAACGTCATCTCGTGGAACAAGTGAGCCATCCGAAACCTTTTCAGTTTTTAAGAAAGTAAACATAACCTCACAGAAAGACTACACGTACGAGGTATAACCTCAGTCGAAAGGGACGTGGTGAAGTCTTTTCAGGAGGTGGATTTGTTTGTTTTCGACCGTGGGCATTGCGTTCGTCCCAAGTACGACGCATGCACGCCCACGGCCGTTGTTGGATATTTGGTCGGACCGAGTGAAATCGGATCCTACCGTTAATCAGGTGCTCAATCCGGTGTTTCGCTCCGGCAGCAACCACACGCGGAACGGGAGCCGATCCCACGATCAAGCGGGGTAGTCTAGGTTCCTACACGTTGAACTGGAGTAAAATCGGATTCCACGTTCAGAACCAAGTGACACCCTACCCAGACCCACGGCGTGTAGCGGGGGAGGGGCGGATACCACGCGTATTCCACCGGCCGCTTGTAACTTTCTGGACTGCGAACACCACTGCTAAGCTGCTAAGATAATCATCCTCTGTGCTGCCGACGACGCACGGAACAGGGTGGTTTTGCTTCACGGCCCCCCCGGCACCGGCAAGACCTCACTGTGCAAGGCCCTGGCGCACAAGCTCAGTATCCGCCTCGGCGACAGGTACTCCACCGGGCAGCTGCTTGAGATCAACGCTCACAGCCTCTTTAGCAAGGTGAGGCACCAGCGATTCTATTCATGTTCTTGTTGGTCTGCTCGAGATCAACGCTCACAGCCTCTTTTGCAAGGTGAGGCACGAGCGATTCTACTTATGTTCTTGTTGGTCTGCTCGAGATCAACGCTCACAGTCTCTTTTGCAAGGTGAGGCACGAGCGATTCTATTCATGTTCTCTTGGCACGGCGAGACACCAGCACCCCCCCCCCGCGCATCCTTGCAGCTGTTTTCCAAGAGGTTGGTCTGCTGGTGTGCAATTCCACCACCGCCGACCTCCCCCCGTGTGTGTGAACATTACCTGAGGCTGGGAGCAGGGATATGGTACGATTCGCTCCCGGGCTTCGTGAACCCTGACTCTGACGACCGAACGTACGAGCTCGATCCCGCCCACCGCCCGCCTTCGCCTTCGCGGGGCCTCCGGCGCCAAAACGTCTTGTTTTGCCGGACGGCGGTTCACTACCACTCTGAATATTCATTCCACCAGGGGCTCCGCCTGATGAAGATGTCCTCCTTTCTCCCGTACCGTGCGTTGCTTTGGTGCACTTCTTGCACTGAATGTGTGGTGCCTCCGATACGGAGTGGGAGTAGTTTACGCGGAAAGATGGATGGACCCCCCGAGCAACCCCCCACCCCTGTGTCTACTTCCGCGGACCATGTTTCTTGACTTCCCTTCGACATTCCCACTCCATGTAACGTTAACTTTTCTGCTCCTCCTCTCTCTCTCTCTTTCTCTCTCTCCTTCTCTCTCCCGCAACTTGTCCTTCTTTCTCTCTCTACCCCTGTTGCTCTCTCCCCCCCTATTGCTCTCTCCCCCTATTGCTCTCTCTCTCTCTCTCTCTCTCTCTCTCTCTCTCTCTCTCTCTCTCGCCCTTTTCTATCATGCCTGTTTCTCCGTGGTGATTCCGACAGTGGTTTTCGGAGAGCGGAAAGCTCGTGCAACGGCTGTTCGAGCACATATTGGAGCTGGCGGACGACGAGGACAGCCTGGTTTGCGTTCTCGTAGACGAGGTAAGGAGTACGAATCAACCAAACCTACCAAATCTACCAAATCTACGGCGCAGCAGCACCCACCATGCGAAAGTATTTTTGGTGAAGCGGTGCGATTTGGTGTGACGTTCTCGTAGACGAAGTATGGTATGAACTGACGACGCCGCAGATTCAACCGCAATACTCAACGATGAAGCAGTATCATTTTGTTGTGACGTGTTGTAGAAGAGGCAGTTAGAAATCTACCAAATCTACCAAGTCGGCCATATCTGCGATGCTGCAGCATCCACCATACGCCGGCAACGTTCTACGATGAAGCGGTGTGATAGGGAGCGATCCTGCCGCAACACGCTCGCGGAGGCTGTTCGAGGTTCCACTTGCCCGGATTCATTTCCAGGTCTCTCTGTTGTCGTTATGAGTGTTTCTACGTCCCGCCCCCCACCCCAATCGTTGCCTGGGCTGGCGAAACCCTTCATATCGCTCAGCCCCGGCATTGTAGGCATGCGCGATCATCGGTCTAACAACTACGGCAGGCACTTGCATGAATACCCCCCCTCGACACCAGGTGGAAAGCTTGACGGCCGCGAGATCGGCGTCGATGGGGGGCAACGAACCCTCGGATGCCGTGCGAGTGGTGAATGCGGTGCTCACCCAGGTAAGAAGCCGTTGGTGTATCTTTGTAACAAGGGAACGGCGAAGTCGATTCAAGCAGGTCGCTCCCCCCCTCCCTTTCTCCCGGGCGTCTCCCTTTCGTCACGTGTTTGAAAACCCAAAACTATTATGAGGAATAAGTAGCACGCCAAAACTGGGAGGAAAGGGTGTTCTTCACTGCAGGCCCCGACTCCATCTTCACTTCCTTCAGTGTGTTCCCTCGATGCTGCTGTGGCACATGATGTCCGACTTACCGCATCAAACGCTGATGTGGCTGGCTGGCTTTGCTGCAGCTCGTGCTTCTTGTTGTGTTCACGTCGGTGTTGTGCCGGGCACCGCAACGGTATAGACGGTGCTCGTGAACCCAACCCCCCCGAGAACTGAGAAGGGCATATCCGCGCAGTTGTTTTTCCGCTTCAATCAGGCTGACATGTTCTCATTGACCAGCCGGCTGGCACGGTCAATGCTCGATAGTATAGCCGCTCCAGAACGCGTGTTTTCGTTGTCCAGAACGCGTGTGTTCGTTGTGTCTTTTTGCCGTGCCAAGCTGCGTGTTTGTACAGTGTGCACTGGAATACATTCAACGAACGCTGTTTTCGGTGCTGCGTTGAATTGTGAAGGTTGTCGTGTGTAGTGTCCCGTCCAATGCTCCCGTCCCTTACTTTGCTTGTTTTCCCCACCCCCCCTCCCTTCCCTTCCCACGTTGCCGCAAAACTCACTCTCCACCGCCCGCAACTTACGCCGGTGGGTGGTGGATTGATGGGTCCAATCGAAACGTTCGTCCGGTGCGCTCACTCACTCACTCACTCACTGCCTGCTCCGGTCTGGTCCCAAGATCGACAACCTTCGGGAGAGGGACAACGTCCTGGTCTTGACTACCTCAAACGTGTCCGAGGCGATCGACCTGGCGTTCGTTGACAGGGCAGACATCAAACAGTGAGTCGGCCAGTCACCTCGGGCCGGGCGGTGTTTTCGACGCTCACAAAATCAGACTAGAGAATCAGTAATCGATGCCGCTGGTTGGCCCAAAAAGCAAACAAAAAACGAAGGCAAGGTCTTGTTTTTTTCCGTCTGGGTATTATCATCCAAAATTCAGAATATTTGTGTTTGTTTTTCGGGAATGGAGAGCCATTTTTGAGAGCCATTTTTGACTTAATTGTTTTTTTTTTTTGTGTTCTGAAACTTCATGAAATTGGGCCGTCAGTGGCAGACGCGGCCTGTGCTTGCGTGCAATTCACAACTTGGAGAGCGACACCCTAAGCGCATCATTCTTTGCTCCTTCTTGTCTTAGCCCACTGAGTGGGACCAATATCAAAACCCGCACCGAGGCGACCAGGCCGCCAAGGCCTCTTGCACTACGTTCACGTACGACTTCACGTCGATGAGCATTCGCTTCCTCCACGGGTACACACGCCGCCGCTTCGCTTCCACTCTCGCCCATGGGCATTCGCTTTCCCTCACCGATTCACAACCACCGCGCCGCCGCCGTCGCGCCGTCGCCGCCGCCGCCGCCAGGTACATCGGTCTCCCCACCGCCCCGGCACGGTACCAAGTCCTCCACTCATGCCTAGAGGAGCTGGTGAGAGTGGGCATCATCTCGCCGCCGTCCCACCTGCAGCCGTCCTACTCGAAAGCGGTGGAGCTCACGGCGGGGGCGGCGGCGGCGGCGGCGGCGGCGGCGGCAGCCCCGCCGTCGTCGTCGTCTTCTTCTTCCCCATCCGCCTGTGCACCGCCGCAGCCGGCGTCTGGCGAGGACACATCCCGAAGAGGTTGTGGTGGTAGTTTATCTGCCGGCCTGTGGGAGAACGGCGAAGGAGGAGGAGATGGAGGAAGAGAACAGGTCGCCAACGGCGGTGGCAACAGCAACGGGGCGGTCGGTCTGGAACCGGACGGCGGGGGTGCCGTAGTAGTGATGGACACGGACGGGGTCGGGGGAGGGGCGCCGCAAATCAGGTGGGGGTGAAGGGGCTGTTTTGTTGCTCCCGATTGTTGTTTTTCAATCGTCGGGTGCTCATAACCACCTGCTAGAACGGTTCACCACGGAATGCCTAGGCTTGTTCCAGGCTGTTGTAATAGTGTTCCTGCATGTTCTGTCGTGGGTTTAAAATGAGGCGTTACTGTCTCTACCGTGGGAAAGCTTCGTGCGCGCTCTTACGTCGTATTTCGTTGTTCATTTCTTGTTCTTTGCCTTTTTTTTTGTCGTATTTCGTTCATGCCTTTTTTTCGTCGGCTGTCTTGCACCACCACTTTCCGCTGGCAGAACTGGACTACATGCAGGGGCAGAGGCCCTTCTAGAGGTGGCTCGCCTGGCGGAGGGGCTCAGCGGACGAGCGCTACGGAAGCTGCCATTTCAGGCACACGCCTTCTACGTGCAAGTGAGACAGAGACACACACTACAGCAGTAGGAGTGCAAAGCTTCTAGAAGTACGTGCAAGCTAGACGTAGACAAAGAGACACCCCTACAGCAGCAAACGAGACAACGAAGCGAGACAAAAAGAGAAAAAATAATGTGGTACCTTCACCAATGTTGGACGATCGATCGTGCTTGCAAAACAATCGAGTGTTTATTTCTCTGTTCTTTTGGGTCCGCCTTCTGCTGAACTGTAGGGTCTGTTTTTTCACGCCATTCGCCTCACTCTCTTGCCTGCCTGGTTTGGCAGTGACGAGGACGACCGTTTTTCAAATACAGCATGCATTGGAACCATCTCTCTTCGTTTCTCGAACGTTCTCGCGTTCCCGAGTTCGCTCCGAATCATGTTTTTCTGGACTTCCCAACATGCCGTGTTTGTGTGCAAATTATTGGGGGTACAGTCGACCCCGCTTTAAGGACGCTCGCGTTAAGGAAACTCCCCGCTTGAAGGAAACTTGTTAAGCTGAGCACCGGGGGCCCCGCAGAATATTCGACCATGGGGTATCCCCATTTTTTCTGCCGCGTACCCCCTTTTTTGTGTCCTGTGGGCCTGCGGGTTGCCCTTTGCACGAACCACGCACCACAGTGAGTGCAGAAGTAGCGACGCACAGACAGCAGAAGTAGCGAGCGGTCTGCTGCTCCAGCTGCAACTGGATGATGCTGTCTAGGATAGATTCCTCCCATCTACCGGCGGTCCATCTGATGCCGCCAAAAAAAAGTGTCGTGCATAACCTCGTTCCTCACCGAGGGCGAGGTTACCTCTCGCTTGGAGGACGTTCGATCCTGCAGATAGCGCCCGCAGTTAAGAATTGTCAAAATCGGTTCGAGCCTCACCAATCCCTTCTTTTTGGTCGAAGTCGTCCATTTCGTAAACGGCATTTCTTCTTCCTTTGGACTGTCGCACCCTCCCGATTCTCTTATTCCTTAGACTACAACAAGTACTTCGTATTTTCTTTTTTCTAGCTTTTGATCTCTGAGGACAATCCACATCATCAAGCCCTCAAGAGAGGTGGTGGAGAGTGCCATCAAAACAGTACAACAACGGAGAGCATATGGTTGTCCGCGATGTGNGCAGTACGTTCTTTCGGAGACCGTACATTCGTTTACTCATGAAAATCAACAGAGCCGTAGAGCCAAGCCGCGGGGGGAGGTTCAGGGAACTCTTCGCGATGTTTGGAAGGAAAAGCCATCAGGGTAGCTTTTGGTCTCCGCCGGGACAGTGATATGTGCTGGTGTTCCTCGGTGCGACGCTGGAATACGCTCGTTTTTTTTTTTTCACAAGAATGAGATGAATATATATCTACTTGGACTTTCCTCCTTCTTCTGCCGCCGGCTATGCAGTACATTACTTGGCCTAAAACAAACTGGTGTACTGTAGTTGTTTTCAACACGTCCCCGACTGCTGTACATCTCATTTCAAGTATTGTAAATATGTTCGACGTCAACAAACGGTTGCCAGTCGTCTCGGCTTTGCTGACTTGTCGTACCACCCCCTTCCTGAGCAAAAGGCGTTTAGTTTGAGGTATAGCATGCCTCCATTGGCCCCGGGGATGGTTAGCTATCGCCCCCTGAATCTTAAGGACGCAACCCCGCCTTAAGGACGCTTTTTTCTAGGAAAAACCATGTGCGTCCTTAAAGCGGGGTCGACTGAAATATACCGTTGGCCTAAACAGGGGGAAGTGATTTCATTTATTTAGGCTGGGGATCATGCCGTTTTTGTCCAAGTATAGCGATAAAATCCTCATCGCCGAACGTGGGAGTGATTTCATTTTTTGGTTCAGACCCGGCGCCTCTCCCAGGCAGAACATTCGCCAGTCTCTTTCGCACGCCTTCGGTTTCCCACCAATGTCTTGTGGAGCCCCGCCCGCTCCAGCCCTCATCCATTCCGTTTTTCTCCCCACAATGCCCTACCCCCTGTTTAGCAGTTTCTCTCCCGGGGACATGCCTCCTTCGCTGTGAGGTTTCCACGCATACCTTGACACAATACTATTGCCTGCCAGGCTTCAGGCTATCCCTAGCCCCTATTCCTGAAGCCATGGCTCCTTTCGAGACACGCGACCTTCGGCTTTATTCACTCGTGAAGCGATGAGAGCTTTGGGTCTGATGATGGATTCCCACAAACCCACACGCCCGCTCGTTCACACGAATCCTTAACCTTATGAAGAGTTTTCGCTCACAGCAGCTCGGGTGTGGTGTGTGACGGACTGTTTTCCCTCAAGAGGGATACTTGTTCGAATCGAAGGCGATCCATGCTGTGTAAATGTGCACATGTGAACCCCCACGCGATGGCCTATTGAAAGGCTAGTGTTTTCCCGCTTGTTGTACCTTCACACGCACACTCCCGCTACATTGGCGATCAACCTAAGTAATAACAGCCGATCACTTTCGATTTTTTCATCGAACAAACTACGCCCTTCTCTCTTGTCTTGTGTGGCCTGCAGAGACAATCGTGCACGCTGGCGGAGTTCCTGTCTGCAATGACCCGGGCTGTTCACAAGGAGCTGGGGGATCGCCGGAGCCTGGAGACGCACCGATGATGAACGCGAGGAGTATGTGATGCAATATGTGTTCGTGACGGGTAGAGAGGGGTAAGAGGGCGTCCTGCAGATGGATGTTTGGTAGTCAGGTGGTGGTTTGAGGTTGACCTTCGGGATGGTGGTTGTTGCCAGGATGTGGTGCATGTAGCTTGGCGTTGTGGGATTGTCATTAGTAGGCATGTTGTTTGGGAGATGGATTCGGGATTTGGCGGTACAAATCGTCATGTGTTTGTTCATAGTTGTGTGCTGTTTTTTGTGATTTAGTTGCGGTATGATGACCAACTATGGAGTGGGGCACTGTTGCAGCGACTCATGGTGACGTTTCTGCATTCTACATGTAATAATCAGCCAAAAACAATTGGGAGAACATGAATTCGGGAACATGAAAAAGAATGCCACCGTATGCCTTCTCCTCCGGTTCCCTCGCTTCCTGAGCGGTATGCGTCTTCATGATTTCAAATAGACATGTCTATCCCGACAAATTTTGCACATATTTATATGTTGTTCGGACATTTTCCACGGACAATTGGTACCGTTTCATGAACGACCCATGGGAGTGTGCAATGAAGATAACTAAAAACCTTTGCGGCGTAGGACATCACCAAGTTGGTCTGTGACAAACCACACAAGGAAGGTACAGTGCACCCCATGCAATCAATCATTCCAAAGACGAATTGCCAACGACGACCGGATTCCTCCTCTTGTTTTCTGGCGCAGTGTATTCGTTAGATTGCCGATGAATACTGTCGTCGTTGGATCCACAGCAACGGGGAAATCTTTGTTGTTCGAAATTGTACTGGTTGCTCTTTCTCCTCCGATCTGATCCCCAAGAAAGGTTTGGTGAGGCCTCCCTTTCCAGAATAAATTTGTGTGTGTCTGGCGTCGGTCGAAACAACAGGAGGCTCTGATGAAGTGAATTTGTTGAAGAAATATAGGCATCTCTCAATAATCGAGTATCACCACTTCTTCCCCTGAGATGATTATTGTTCACCCGTGAAGGAGGCGACCGGCGTGTGGTTCACTCTAGAGACGGTTCCTGGGACGTCGATGCGTCCGCGGTTGTCAGCTTTTGGTGATGTCCCGAGAGTAAACTCACTTGTTAGATGAGTTGAATAATAACGCAGACCGATGCTGAGTTTGACCGTAACAGACTTACCCCTAAATGGATCCCATGTTTGGGCCCCTCTACGGCATGCCTCTGCGGCATGGAGCGAACGTGAGTTATATGGAGGCGGGAGAGCACACATGCAAGCCCTGTCCATACTCTGGTGAGCCTGTGCGAGGTATTAAGCACAGTATGTGCGCCAAAACGCGATATATCGCCAGCTGGATGTGTTGGACCACCTCCTACCGAGAATCGCGAACCAACCGCAGGTCGACGCGGGGTTCCCATGATCGGCCGACCAAGCTTAGGCTGAAGCAAGCACGGAACGTGTGTTGTGGCCTCAACATTACCATCGTGAGACGGCCCCGATGTGTGACCACACACATTCTTATCTTCGCATGTGTCAAGTCATGGAATGAAAGATCGCCCCGGATTGTGCATGAAGATATACCCGTCGGATCGTGCACCATACCCGTCGGATCGCGGCCCCTCCTTCTCCTCTTGCTGCCCACTCGGTATTTGAGAAAGCCACCGCACGGACATGTCTTCATTAAAAAGCCGCCAGCCGCCTTGTGCTCAGACACGTGGTACGTACATACATGTCCTGCGGCGAAGTGGATTCCATGATTGGACGTGAAATTAAAGATTGCAGAGGATCGCGGAGGAAAAAAAAAATCAACCCGTCGGATCGTGTCCCGATATTCTCCTCAACACACACACCCCGCTTGCCATAATGCCAAACACGTGATGTATCCACACCCCTCACGTTGGTGTCTATACATCTTCGGCCGAAACTCACCAACTTGACCTTCACCAAAACGCGATATCCGGCCAGCTTCATGGGCTGGACCATATCCTATCGATTATCACGAACCTGCAAGTCGACGCCGGTTTCCATGATCGACCGCCAGTAATATGCACAAAAGCTAGCACACATGCTACTTGTGGTGCGCCTGAGCATGTGATCGCGTTGTATGCCACGCGTTTGCAACTCCTCATGTCGGTTGAGGAAGATCGCCCTGGATCGCGGATGAACAAGTAGTCTACCCGTCGTGGTGTTGTGGATGAGGAGCCCGTTGGATCGTGAATGAGATATGCTTGACATGGCAATGTCGCCTTTCCGGTTTTTCCGGTTTTGGTGGTGGTGTGTGGTGGTTTGTGGTGGTATGGTGGTCAAGGGCGGGGGGGTTGTTTGGTTCCCCCCTCGGGTGTTTTTGGTTTGAGTTCGGAGAAAGAATGAGAGACAGACACTGCTCTAAGCCTGAAACACCTTGTGCCAGCCAAACTCCCAATCGATCACGACCACCGCTGGAAGAGACAGATAAATCTGTGGGACTGAAACACTTTGTGCCAGCCAAACAATTCCAGAGTCTGCTCTTGTCCGCGGTGCTCACCATGTTTCTAAATACCCTATCGCTCAAAACTCAGCAATTTGGTCTGCGCCAACACGATGAAACTGGCCAGCGTGCTTTGCGGGACCACCGATTCAGGTTGGCTGCGGGACCACCGATTGGGGTCGACTGCCGTGCGAACGGTCGTGCCAGCGGTGTTCGCCCATACAATACAATGTACCATGGTGTGCAGAAATCACCCAGGCTGTGGTGTGCCCGACCATGAGTATGGCCAAACGGACGCCTTGGTATCCTATGTCCGCCTGCACCATGGTCCGCTGGTCGCTGGTCGGTTGCAGAATAAAACGTTTAGTCTACCCGTCAGATCCTCCGATCCGTTGTTCCGTCCATCCCTGCCGTTGCTGAGGGCAGGGTTGTTTGAGACCGCCACCACACTGGCATGTCGTCACAACACACTCGCTTGCCGAGTCACCACACACCAGACACGTAGTTTTGGCTTGCGGTGACGTGGATGCCATGATGGTGCACGGTGGAATAAAAGATCGCCCCGGATCGCGTATCATATCTTCGCTCAGTTGTTCTCCAACAAACTTATCGTGGAGAGTTTGGAAATGAGGGTCAATCGCCAGTGGACACTCATTTCCCTTCACGAGGAGTGGATACACCGACCCTTGTGGGAGGAGGTGATGCCACTGTTTGATCCCATACTATCTGAGGAAAAGAACTGACTACGTGAAAATACTGATGGATATTCACAGCAGTACGCCTACAACTGCACCAGCAGTGCAGCGGCTGTGGTACGCTGCGGGTGGCGTGTATGGCTGAGGTTTGGGTAGTGAAACACAGAGTGATTTATTATCTTCACACAGACGCCCAAGCTGTCTTCACCTGACGGTTACAGACTTGGCAACGCCTTCACAATACTGCATCAAACTCAATGCAGTAGAATAGAGCCGTCCTTAGTCTAAACTACAAACACTTCCAAAACATGTCCTCTCAAGAACTACGTCATTCTACAGTAGTTCCGATGCATAAGACCTCTCGAAACGATGTACATTCGTGTCCTCTCGAAACAACGCTATCAAAAGAACTTCCAACTCATCCGTGTCTAGTTGTTTCCTTGCAGCTGCCATCCAACAGCCATCGATCCGTCTTACTCCTATTTTAAAGGAGGTGAAGCCGTGGGCGGTAGCTTGCTCCTCGAGATAGATGAAGGTTCTGTCGTTGACACTCTTGTCCACGACCACGTTGAGATGGGAAAGTTGCTTGTTTTTGCTGAGAGACGATCAGCAAGGATCTGAGATGGAGTGGGGATCCAACTTCACCTCAGGGGGTACACAGAGTAGACAATTCTAAGGGGGTAGGGGTCAGAAGGGAATTCCTTCTGACCGACCCCCATCCTATCAATAATAGGATGCACCCTAGACTATTCATGCTAGCAGCCACACTCCCTAACACTAACAGCCAACCCTGAATATCATATATATATGCAGATTCTATACTCAAATCAATGCTCAATTCCTAAAGCTACAGTGTTGTGTGAGTGCTTTCGTCCTATTTACAAGCTGAGCCAGCCAAGAAGCTAACATTCAGTCTTTCAGCCATAAATGTTGAAGGAATCAGAATTGAAACGAGCTCGGCACATCCGCTCAATCAGCCAATCACACATGACCGGTCACCCCGGTGGTCTAGTGGGTAGCCTCGCAGCCTGCTAAGGGCCAGGTCATGGGTTCGAGTCCCGGCAGAGAGAGTTTTTTTCTCACTAAATAAATCCTGGTCTAGGATGAAAGCGACGCGCTGCAAAGCTCGTTTGTCAGTAAACCATAATCGACTTCGTAAGTCGCGAGGGAAGGGATTGCTGTACCCTTCTCGCGATAAAAATACCTCAGGCATGTACCGCAGGAGGGGGTCCAACCCCCCCCTCCTATGTGACCCCGGTTGGGTCGTCTAGCTAGTAGAAGTGGAGGATAGGGGCCAGAGGGGCAGACGACAGAGTCCAATGATGGGAGAAAAAAAAAAAAAATCCTCTCCACAAAAGGCAATCCTCCGCATTTTATCTGGGTTTAAAAGAGTCGGGAAAAAGAATTATGAAACGCTTTTTTTTGCGGCGGGATTTCATTTTTTTTTGAAATTGTGCCCAACGGATGCAAACAGCACCCGCTGGCACCGAGGAGTGCACAGCATGGAGAGCCTAGTAGCAGCAGTCACACGCAATGGCTGGCAGAGAACCTCTGAACCCGTATGCTATCCAGAGAGGTCTAAGGGGAAGTGGCGGCTACGGCTCATGTTCACAAGCCGGAAAGGAGACAGGGCAACGAAGAAGTACGGCCCCTTGTGCAACACAGAGCAGGAAGCGCTTTGTGGCAGCCTTGCCTTCAGGTACAGCTGGGAGGGCAGCCAACGTGGTCAGCCCTGCGAGGTCAGCAAGGAGAATCTAGTCCCACCTGTTGCAGCGGGTACTACGCTTCCAGCAGGCAAGTCGTGAACTGCGCAGTTGTACACTTGTACAAACACGATGTGGACATGATCATGCAATTTTGATTTTTTTTGTTTTTTCTGGGGTCGGAGCAACGGCAGCACACGTGACACCGTGCCAGCGACTGCTGCTGTACCTACTGCACGCGGCCAGTCATGCCGCAGGCTGGACTTACGTCGAGTATGTTCTTTTAGGAACGTCAAGTAGGTGGCACTCTTATAAAAGAGATGGCGGCGTATGTTGATTTGTACACGACCACATTTTTTGGGAGATGTGGTCGTCAGCCGAGATTTTTGAATTTTCGACGGCATGCTTCGCACGCACAAGTGTAATCGCCCAACGTGATATCCACGTTCACATGAGTTGCCTTCATTACTCGTCTGTTGTTCTGGTACTAGAGGCGCCTACAGCAGTACGCACAACATTTTTTGCTACAATATGGTACCTGTACACCCCGATGTGTTTGCTGCAACGATGTGCTGCCGTATATGACGTAATATAACACACCCCCCTGGACGGATTTGAAAGCTCGATTCATCACCAGCAGAACGAGTCGCAGCGCCGAAAACGGCGGTGTTGAA